GCCTTGTGGGTGAGGGCAAATACTCTCTGTAAGACCATTAGGGGCTGGCACTCAGAAGTCCTAGCATGGTGATTTTTCTCAAGTATCGGAATGTATCCTTTACCCTTTCAACAGTCGTTGATACCTATTCGGTTGGTACTGGAAGTTCAGTATCTGGGGTTTTGGTTATTCTGGTTGAGTAAAACAAGGGTTCGATTCCCTTCTAGGTCATACTGTTCCTGTGTCATATTAAGGCTTAGTGTGGCGTTGTCTCGCGTTGAGTTTGCCATGGCATACTTCCAATCTCGTTAGTGGATTCGCTTCATATATGTTTTAGGATGCACCTGTTTTACCGACAATTTATTTCACCGACAACTAGGGCTCAGAACGATTCGGTAAAAAACCAATCGGTTTGGTAATTACCGACGGTTTACCGAAATGTTGATCAATGAATCCTAACGTTCACGTTAACGTTAATCATTGATTAATCAAGGGTTTGAAAGATTTCTGAATTTGCCAAAATATTATTCGTGAAATTGAATAATTAAAAATATATAAAATTTTGCACATTGCTTCACGAGATATTATGCGAAACGTAGATAAATGCTACAACGCATTTAAGCGATTTATTTGCGTTTCGGATAATATCTCGTGAAGCAATGTGTATACGTAGAATAGAACCCAACCAATATTTTTAATTAATAGCAGTTAGTGTGTTAAAACTTGACATTATGGTCGATTTTACGTTCAAATCTCACGAATTATATTTTATACATGTGATAATGTGTTAATATCACAATTATCGAAGTTTACCGAACTGCCGTCGGTAATTACCGAAAATCTCAGTAAAATAACGCTTCGGTAAATTTCGGAGCTCTACCGACAACCTGTATTTCACCGAAAATTGATTTCACGGATTGGAAAAGGGTTAGGGCATGGGTTCGGAATATAGGTTATCCTAAAGATTTATCTAAATACAAGTGACTCTTGTTAATAAATCCTCTCGTCATAGTAACTTTACTAATAAACTCTTGATATAGTAAATTTTTTATAACAAGAGTCACTTGTACAGTCGCCACAGAAAGTAGTAATCTCAACATAAATTTAAACGTGGCGTTTTCCCCCTTTTTGTTATTGTTTACTGAAAATTTTTTTATTTCTTCGACTTTTAAACATACACTGGGCCTCCAGTTGACTGACTTTGACGAGGATAGATGGTGCTGTGCAAGTCGCAAGAAAAATGAGCCGTAATCCGATGACGGGATAATGGTCTCTTGCCGAATACAAGAGAAATAGGAAAAAAGAAAATTTACCAGGTCTGTGAGGTCACAAGCAATAAAAAAA